TCTATCTTTCATTAGGAGAAAATAAAACTCACGAGTGACATCAACTGAAAAATGTTCTTTGAGAGCAAGTTCTTTCCATTTAAAGCTAAGCACATGACAGCTGGTGACTTTTAATGGAAAGCAAAATTTGCTGGGCTGAATCACTATCAAACCACTTGAGAATTTGTGTTTTTAATTTTCCTTTTTGGAGAAAGGCAGTGCTTCAGAATCCAGAAGAGCAGATGAGGAATGGAAAGGTCCAGTCTTGTCTCTGATTGTGGCCTTAAAAGACCCTGGACCATCCTCAGTAGAATCATGGTCCAATATCCAGGTACATTAACTTCTTATTCCCTTTACTTAAAGCTCATTTAAGAAACTGGTTAGAAAACAAATCTCTCTGTCTCACTGTCATTTGGGCTCCATAACAAAACTGAAAACTCTCCACACTTCTCCACTTAATATAAAGTATCTGGTACCAAAGAACCCAGTGGTATTTGTTACGGGCTGAATGTATATGTCCTCCCCAAATTCATATTTTGGAACCCTAACTACTATTGTGATGACAGTTGGAGGAGCAGCTTTTGGGAGGTAATTAGGTTTAGATGAGGTCATGAGGGTGGGGCCCCCATGATGGGATTAGTGCCCTTTCAAGAAGGGGAAGAGACAGAGCTCATCTCCCTCTCCACCCTGTCAGTGCACAACAAGAAGCTGACTGCAAGCCAGGAGGAGGGCTCTTGCCAGGAACAGAATCTGCTGATACCTTGAGCTTGGACTTCCCAGCCTCAAGAACTATGAGAAGCAAATGACTGCTGTTTAAGACAGCCAGTCTGTGATATTTTGTCATAGCAGCTCAAGCGAATTAGGACAATGTTCAAGTAAGCTAAAGGGTGCTCTGTTACCAGGAACTCCAGGGGATCAGCTGTCTGTACATCAGAGCTGCATCAGACATTAAAGAAGAAGCATGTGAGACCAGCCTCTGTGCAGTCAAGTTCGTTTCAGGCCAATATAAATTCAGTTCCTCTTTCCCCCCATACTCTTCTAGCACTTTTAGAATCTAAAAGACATATGTTGTCTGTGTGGACAGTGGAGAGCACCTCCAGAATTTGGGGACATGGTCAGAAGGTGTCAGGCACTGAAGGAAGATGCTAATAGAACTCCCACAATATAATTGAGATTAACCATCTACAGATGAAACCTGTCTTGGGGAGGTTTTGTACATGCATTGCTGTGGATTTAATGATTTGCTACAGTAAGTTTAGATAATTCGAAGTTTATTGGGAGATTAAACTACATAAAGTAATGACAAAGTATGTTGTGATAAGGTCATGCTACTTGAAGAGAATTAAATGGGTAGACATGAATGATCTTGTACTGAGCCTAGAAAATGAGAGTTGAAGAGTAAGAATCACCCAAGAGTGTCAGCAGAATGGTGGAGAAGGCATTCTAGACTCTACTAGAGTCTAAGCCACACACCCCTCAGCACCTTTCCCCTGATTCCTGCTTACCAGGCAATTTTCACATAGTTTGATGCTCTATTAGACACATATACATTAAGGATTGTTATGTCTTCTTGGAGCATTGACCCCTTGATCATTATATAATGCCCTTCTTTATCCCTGATAACCTTTCTTGCTTTGAAGTCTGCTCTGATTGAAGTTAATATAGCCACCCACTCTTTTTTTCTTTTCAGTAGTGTTATGGTATATTTTTCTCTGCCCATTTATTTTTAATCTATATGTGTCTTTATATTTAAAGTGGGTTTCTTCCATAAGCAAAATGAAAAGACAACTTATAGAATGGGAGAAAATATTTGCAAATAACACAACTGACAAGAGGTTAATTTCCAAAATATACAAACAGCTCATAAATGCGATATCAAAAAAATAAGCAACCCAATCAAAAAAATGGACAGAAGACTGAAATAGACATTTGTCCAAAGAAGACATACAGATGGACAACAGGCATATGAAAAGATGCTCAACATCACTAATTATTAGAGAAATACAAATCAAAACACAATGAGGTATCACTGGTCAGATGATACCTGGTCAGAATAGCCATCAACAAAAAGTCTATAAGTAGTAAATGTTGGAGAGGGTGCAGAGAAAAGAGAACCTTCCTATACTTGGGGGGAATATAAATTGGTGCAGCCACCTATGGAAAACAGTATGGAGGTTCCTTAAAAAACTAAAAATGGAGTTACTATATGACCTGGAAATCCCATTCCTGGGCATATATCCAAAGAAAACTCTAATTCAAAAAGATACATGCACTGCAATGTTCATAGCAGCACCATTTACAGTAGCCAAGATATGGAAGCAACCTGTGTCCATCGACAGATGACTGGACAAAGAAGTTGTGGTGTATACACACACACACACACACACACACACACACACACACACACACACACACACAGAATATTACTCAGCCAATAAAAAGAATAGAAAAAGTAAAAATAAAAAACGTAAAAAAACGTTAAACGTTTACCTTACGTTAGTTAAGTAACGAACCGAACGGTAAACGGTAACTTAACGTTACGTTAACTAACTT